GTAATCTAGATAAACATTTCAATAGGTCCTATCTGCATTGTTCGATTCTCTTCCCTGTTGTATTTGACGTTTTGGACGTTAGATAAAGAACCTCCTTTATCAAACCATGTGGTAGAATTAGCGCGAAATCTGTTTGCATAGCAGTGGTTATGAAAAAAAGAAAGTCGATGAAGAGAATCGATCAAAGCAGATAGGACCAATTGAAAAATGTTCATCGTAATCATGGCTCGGACTCAATAAGGTGAAGCGGGAATCTGCATACTTTTTAAGCTTTTTTGATTTAATTTATCTTTGAGTGTAGCCAGCAGTCGTCTCTTGCCACTGCTTGGTCCCGAGATGTTCGGTATGATTCTGGCTACCGCGTTGATGGCCTTCGACGCCTTCTCGTAGGTCGAAGCTCGAAGCCAAACGGTCGTCGACCATCACTCCTAATTTATTTCTGACCGCTGCAGCGCTTTAAAGTTACTGATCAATACCACCTCGCTTTTGTTGTGGGCTATCTGCAGCTTTGCTTCATGCATTAGGTTTCCAATCATGTCGACCGCCTCGGTCACCAACATTTCCATCTATTCCAGCGTCTTGCCTATTACCGTAAGGCGACGTCGTCCGCAAAGCCAACGATCCAACTCGTTTGGGTAGCTTCAGCGTTAGACCGCCGTTTTAAATCACGTTCCTGAGCGTTGGACCAAGGATAATGTGGAATTCCCAGCGTGATCCTAATCGATCTCTGTCCCATATTTGGCTCGTGGTTCAGAACCCGGTTCTGGAAGTAGCGTCGGCCTCCCAGCTGGAGCTGTTGAACGCATTCTTGACGTCGATCGTTATCGCGGCGTAAGATCGATCGACACCTTCTCGGCTCTCTCGACAACTATCCGAATTGCATCCACTTTTGCTCTTCCTTTTCGAAATCCGAATTGCCTCTCTGACAATCCTTGCCCACTCACACTCCGTGCATTTCGTCAGTCTGTTTAGGATGATCCCCGCCAAGAGTTTTCCGAGTGTATCCAGCAGGCACTGCTACGAGTTGCTTGTTGGTGACTTCGTCGTTATCTCCCTCTCCGTCTCCATACGATGTAGGAGGCCAGGTCGTTGGATCGTGCTTCGAGAAAAGTCCTTCCACGATGACTTTCAGGTTCTCTAAGCACATTTCAGCGGGCATGACTTGACATCTGATCTTCGTCATCACGACACGGTGTACGTCTCGACTAAGCTCCAGTTGACAGTTTGACTTGCTCTGCTTTATCTCTCGTTTATGTGCTCGGAACATTCCTCTACGTTCCTCTCTGTCTGATTCTGTTCTTGCTCTCTGAACACGTCTTCTGGCTCTGAGGCAACTAGTGTTTTTTTTTTTTTTTTTTTTTTTTTTTTTTTTTTTTTTTTTATACAGGGGGGAATCTGCTCACAGACACCTGAGAAGGAACTCAGGGTGTGGGGATGGGAGAATTTCACTCCCGACCCACTAAACCTTACCCTGTGCGCTTGGCCCTTGGCCTCCCCGGAACCGCCCGAAGGCATTACTTCGTGGGAGGGGCCGCTGTAGCGCTATGGCGCCTCTCTAGCAATACTCTAACGATCTGGTCGGGCAGTAGGTAACTGCTGCTCGGCTCGCCACTGTCGTTGTAATACCGAAACTATGTGGGTGACCGCAGTCACCACCGCGCTCCAGTTCTCGGTGGTACCACACATCCTATGAACGATGTTGTCCGGACTGGTATCCGCTCCGCATATCGCTAGCATAGCGCTCGATACTGGCTCGAAACGTGGACAGGCAAACACGACGTGTTCGGCGGTCTCCTCGACACCAGCACATGTGGGGCAGGTGGGAGTACTTGCATGTCCGAACCTATGCAGGTAGCTCCTAAAGCAGCCATGGCCTGACAGGAACTGTGTCAGGTGGAAGTTTACTTCCCCATGGCGCCTGTTGACCCAGCTTGATACGGAAGGTATCAAGCGGTAAGTCCACCTCCCCTTTGTGGAGTTTTCCCACTCCAATTGCCATCTCGCGGTCGACACAACTCGCGCGTTGTTGCGCACCCCTCGAACGGTCCTCGCGTCATAACACGCCACATCCTCCTTAATGATAAGGCTGATTGGCATCATCCCTGCTATGACACAGACGGCCTCTCTCGAGATAGTGCGGTATGCACTGGCCACCCTTAAGCACATTAGCCTGTGTGTACTCTCTAATTTCTGCCTGTGGCAGTCAATATCCAGTACCGCAGCCCACGCAGGGCCGCCGTATCTGAGGATAGATACTACGACCCCAGCGAGGAGCCTGCGCTTACTGGCATTCACTGCCGAGCTGTTTGACATCATACGGGATAATGCCCCCACAGCCATAGACGCTCTCTTGCAGGCGTACTCGACGTGGCAGCCGAAGCTGAGCTTATCGTCGAGCATAACCCCCAAGAGTTTTAGAGAGCGCACAGACCTAATTGTGCTTCCGCCGACTGTCAACGTTGCATGCTGTACTGACATGCGATTGTTGACTACGACCACTTCCGTCTTGTGATGGGCGAGCTCCAGTTTCCTGGTTCTCATGCATTCCTCCACAAGCCTGACGCAGTGGACCGCTGTCAGCTCTACCTCCTCGAGGGATTCCCCGCAGACTACCAGCGTGACATCGTCGGCAAAACCTACAATTTTCACGCCTACCGGGAATTTTATCCTCAACAGTCCATCGTACATGACGTTCCATAACACCGGGCCCAGGATGGAGCCTTGTGGCACACCTGCGGTGACTCTAACGCATTTTTCGCCATCTTCTGTGTCGTACGTCAACACACGATTCTGGAAGTAGCTTTCCAGAATCTTATACAGCCCTCCGGGAATTTGGAGCTGGTGTAGCGAGCGGGCTATCGCCCCCCAGCACGCGCTGTTGAACGCGTTCTTCACGTCTAAGGTTAGCACCGCGCAGTAGCGAATGCCCCTTCGTTTCCGATGGACCACCTCTGCCGTCTGGATGACGTCGCGGATGGCGTCCACCGTGGATCTGCCCTTTCGGAACCCGTACTGGCTGCTTGACAGGCCGTCTACACCTTCGGTGTAGGCCGACAGCCTGTTGAGGATGACCCTCTCAAGCAGTTTCCCAGTGGTGTCCAGCAAACAGATGGGTCTGTATGCTGACGGGTCCCCAGGGGGTTTTCCTGGCTTCGGAAGCAGCACCAGCTTCTGCCGCTTCCACGCGTCTGGGAAGACGCCTACGTCCAGACAAGTCTGAAAAACAGAACGGAACATGTCTGGATTTTCCGCAACGGCCGCCCTCAGAGCCACAACCGGGATCCCATCTGGGCCCGGGGCCTTGCCCACCACCAGCGACCTGGCAATACCGCCAAGTTCACTGTTCGTCACTCTAGACACTTCTCCCTGATCCGCGCCTGGGATCCGCGGCCAGGAGTCTACGTCCCTACGCGGGAACAGGAACCCAACGATCGGAGCCAGTACCGCTGGTGATCTCTCCGGGGGTGCCGTCACGCCGCGGGTCTTTGCCATGACCACTTTGTAAGCATCCCCCCATGGGTTCGTGTTGGCGCTTTGGCATAGGCTGTCAAAGCACGCGCGCTTGCGTCTGGCGATCTCTTTATTGAGGGCTGCCTTAGCCGCTCGGAGAGCGACGCGGCGTTCCTCGCGAGATTCAGTCGTACGAGCTCGTTGCATCCTCCTTCTCGCCTGGAGGCAAGACGCCCTGAGGATAGCAATCGACTCGCTCCACCAGTACACCGGTCTGTGGCCATGCCTGGGATAGGCTCTCCTAGGCATGGTTGTATCGCACGCCCTTGTCAGTGCTGCTACCAGTTCTTCCCCCGTCAGATCCGGGGTTAACTAGTGTGGAGGGTGCTAATTGCCTCGTTGCAGCAGTAAGCTGGAGGCCGCCTGTTACTTAGCTCCAGTTTCCTCGGCATGGTCGTGTCACATGCTCTCCCTAACGATTCTGTCAACTCGTCTTCCACTTCAGGTCGCAAGTTCTCGTCCTCTCTACTGCCACAGGATTTCGTTGGCCGATGCCTTATCGGATTGCCTGATGGTCACTATGGGTATATCCTTCACACACTCTCCAATTCATGTTTTCCACCAGCGACGGACTGCAGTCCGCATAAAGTGACGTCGATAATGGATTCCCGGTCATCTCTGCGAAAAGTGGTGGTGGTGCCTTTATTGAACAGCTTCGCCAGAGCTTCCAGCAGAATGTGCCCTCTTGCGTTGGTACATCTATTTCCCCACTCCACTACCTAAGCATTGAAGTCTCCTCCGATGACTAGCGGTCTTCATCCGATCAGCTCTTCGGTAAGTCCAACCAGCGTCTCGTGGAACTGCTCCATCGTCCATCGGGTACATAGCAATTGCGTATGAATATTCCGTTAATTTTGGTGATCACAAAACCTTCTTCTTGAATGGGGTATTTTCCCATAATTTGTATTGCAGCCATCCCAGCTCTATCCGCCATCTAGTTACCTTTATCGGGAGGGACTCCATACAGCTGTGCAGTGTCGCAATAATTGAGGTTTATTTGAGTAACGTCTGTTATTGTTGCGACAAAACAATTAAGCGTCATTTGGAGAGAAATGTTTGAGAATTCATGCTTAAAAACCAAAAAGTTCAGCAAAATCTTCAGGCTGTCAAAATTTGAAAAAAAAAAGCTGACAAAATCGGGGGTAGACAAAATCGGGAAAGCACTGTATATTCAACCCAAAAATTGTACACTTATTGGTCGCTAAGAAAATTGTTTTGAGTGATTTTAGTGATCAATCTGACGACCTCTGGATTTGGTTGGCTTAGACTTAAAACTTGAAGGACCCGAATTTTGTTCAAGATTCCTCCGGGAAGCTGTGGATCTACTCCAAGGTAGTCTCTCGAACAAATATTTCATGTTTGTCAATTGAAAAAAAAACTACACATCTGTATTGAAACTGATTCCAAATTTCGATCCAACGATATAACATTCTACCGTTTCTACAGTTTCCCATTAATCGAATTTGTTTCCTCCGCGCACCAAAATACAGTATCACCGTACCACCAGCCCCGGGCTAATTCTGAGAGAGTACAACCGTCACGGGTTCGAGGATATCGCTCGTATCTACACCTACAGCTATCTGACGGACGAGCCGCACTACCTGAGGAAACCGATCGAACCGTACGACAAGGCGCCGGTGTCGCCTCATTTCCACCGGCCCAACCAGTACGGCAGCGGGCACCGTTCGGCCTCCGGGTCACGGTCCCACTCGCGAAGCCGCAGCGCTATGAAAGTGCTGGTGGATAGCATCCGCTCGGAGACACCACGTCCCAAAAGTCCCGGCATGAACAACGAAGAACCGATCGAGCTGAGTCACTATCCGGGAGCGAAGAAGCCCCCACCGGGCGAAAAACCAAAGATTGAGCGGGACGACTTCCCGGCGCCACCGTATCCGTACACGGACCCGGAACGGCGGCGACGTTATTCGGATTCCTATAAAAACATCGAATCGGATGACGAAGTGGACCATCACGCGAAGAACAAGGAACATAAGGATAATCGGGCTGAAATGTTAGTATTAGTAAAACTGTGTGTTTATCTCGTTGCTAAACTTTATTTGTTTCCCATTCCCAGACTGCTCCAAAAGGAAGAAGAGGAACTGAGCAAACTGAAATCATCCGGTATGGGCAAGGTCATTCTGAAGGACCTCCAGGAACACAAGAAGTACGAACACTGGAAACGGGAGAACCTCGATCCACGGAATGCCTCGCGCACTCCGTCGGCATCGAAGGAACCCACCTACCGACTGCGATACGAATCGCCAGTGGGTGCCTCGCCCTCTCGAAACCTGGACCATCATCGACCGGTGGAAGACGAATATTTCGATCGATCGACCAGCTACCGCGGTTCCGTCGGCCGTGCCATCGGAAGCGCGCCCAGCTACAATGGTAAGCCAATCATATCCTAGCGATAGTGCAGTCGAGTTCATGGCTTAAGTTGATTATGTTTTATTTTCTTAATCAAATCAAATCACTTTTTAAACTACATCCAACGAACATCCACATAAAAAAATGCCCACAAACAGCCATCCACTCGTATAGGTCTCCTCCGAAGCCAGGATACGGATTCAAAACGTCAACGCTGCCACCTTCGTCGATAAGAAACGGTTACAGCTCTGTAAGTGCCTTCCCCTCTAGTGGTCGGACGTGCTTGTCCTTGCCCTAGTGTCTCGGTGGTTATGGCTAGTTTTTGTGGTGCAAACTAAATTAAAACAAAAAAATAACATCAACTAACCCATCTGTGTTGACTAGTACTAACTTCATACTAACGGTCTGTGTGTGTGATCATTTGTCTTTTCCTTCCTCAAACGCAAACAACACGCTTTCCGGTTTCTGGACTAACCCTATCATCGATGCAAACTACTAACCGTTAACCATGTCCGAATTTTGACACGATTCAAACTAACCCCCCACATTAACCGACTAACAACGACGCAGTGGTGAGTTCCTTACGACAAGTACCTAAACCGGGTTACGGCTTGGCCCCTCGTTCGCATACCTTCAGTTCCGCTACATCTGGTTCCGCTCACGGTGTTCCTGTAAGCTGCTTTTACTGTAGTAAAACGAATCAAATTCCAGTTCTGTTTTCTTGTACCTACCAACCTACATACAAAATCATATTTGGTTACTTCTTATTTTGTCCATGTCGTTTTTTCGCATTATTGTCTCGTCATCTATGTTCATGATTTGCCTAGTTTAGATGCTTGTTTTATGTTCTCTGTTATCGACACAAAAACACACACACATTAAATGTTTTCAAAATTCGGAAGCGATTGAATTTTTATCACCTTATCATTTATTCACCACGTCGTCGCTATCATGTGCTTTTTTGCGTACGACAGAAGAAACGGATTTTTGTCGCGTGCGGGCCAAGTTTTGGACCTTAGGGGAAAACAAGTCTAGAATCCTAGATAACAGTAGAAAAGTTTTACAACTGATCAACAGCACTTTTACGTTCCTTCCGTTTTGTTTGTTTTCTTCTAACAAAAATATATTCTCTCCTCTAATGTTATGCATGCTCATTTGGTTCAAAATACACATTAAAGTTATTGTTGGGAATGTACGGTTCTGAAGCATGCCAGTTGATTTTCGGAAAGTGTTGTGTGGAAGAAGTGAACTATTTTCAACTAACATAAATTGTACGTATTTTTAGGATTTCTCGTTCGGTGGACTTGGAGATAAGACACACAGTACGGAATTCAGCTGCGGCAAGAGCGACGGTGAGTGTTGCATTCATATTTGATTCAGATTTTCAGCCCAGTATTTGTAACTTTGTAGAAAAATCACAAATCTTTTGAAATGTCTAATATTCTGATCCCATCAAACATTCAAATACTAGAATTCAGAACTATTTAAAAATTCTCGAAAGAACACCTCATGTTTAAAAGAATCATGAATCTTCTCTAAAATATTAGATTCTGACTGACTTGAACCCGTTTAACATAATGCTGCTTGGCGTATATTAACTGTTAAAGCGTAATTCAATGCAGAGCTGGAAAATGGACCTAACAGCTTTTTTAAATAATTACTTCTCTAGTTGATTTCTAGAAAGTCAAGACACTTAAACCAACATCACCGTTGGGTAGGGGAAGACTGAGCCTTTACCGACTGAGCTAAGGGAGGCCCAACCAAGCTGCGCTACCTATAATTGCATATCAGTCTCATAAAAGTAGGCATTGAGAAAATGGCAGTCGAAGCTTCGAAGTGAAATTCCCATATAAATATTTGAAAAATCAAAGCTGAATACCCTGAAGCTAGCAATGCTTTAGTGAAGGATTTCTACGTGGATAACTATATTCGTGGAGCGTCCAGCGTAGAAGGAGCCATCAAATTACAGAAGGATATAGACACTCTACTAAGGAAAGGAGGATGTGCGTTGCGCAAATTGTGTTCGAATTGGCCAGAGGTTTTGAGTGGTATCCCACACAGGAACACTAGGAACTAATTTATCAATTTCATTCGAAAGCAGCCCGGAAGAAAAGGTGAAAACTTTGAGAATCACCTGGGAACCCGGGACTGATCAATTATGCTTCAACTACGACGCATGAGCATATGTGGACCAGAAGCAGCATCTTGTCTGCTATTGCCAAACTCTTCGACCCGGTGGCATTGATTTCTCCGTTAATCGTGGCGGCGAAGATTGTTATGCAGGAGCTTGCTTTGCTGAAGTCTGGATGAGATGAACCTGTTCCCGCTGACATCGAGAACAAATGGTAGACTTTCCAGTCTCAGTTGAGGAAAATCTTGGAACATCGATATACATACATACAATTTCACTATTTTTGTGATGCTTCTACATTGGCATATGGTGCCTGCTTGTACGTGCGAGCGACGGATCAAGCAGGAAACATACGAATAGAGCTACTCTCGTTGAAGTTACGCGTTGCACCACTTAAGAAGTTGACGTTGCCGCGACTCGAACTCTGCGCTGCTACGAAATCTGCTCGTCTTCACTCCAAGGTGACAAAGGCTTTTTCATTGGATAATGTATTGGAGGAGATAGAACTCCTGGTCAGTACCATTGTATTGAACTGGCTACGAGCATCCACCCAACTCATGGCAAACGTTCGTCGCTAACACAGGGCTGGTAGCAGGTCACTTTTTAGTGACTTGGTCACTATTTTCAAGTCCGTCACTAAAAAGTCACTTTTTTCATCAAAAAGTCACTAAAGTCACATATCACGCAGAAAAAAGTTTTTTAATTTCAATGATATTATGTATTAAAAACAACAACAAAAATTATCATTCCCCGGCTAATAACTTTTTTTATTGAATTCAACAATAAATCTTTATTGTTCGGACATAAAATATTGTTGTTTTCAAAATCTGTCAAAAACGCAATTAAAAATATATTTTGTTGAATTTACAATATTTATTTTCAAACAGACAAAATCTTTTTTTGATAAAAAAAAAGATAAGTTGCTACCAACAATAACTTTTTTTTATTCAAAAAAAAAATTGTTGCAAATAACAAATTGTTTTTAATAATTTAAAAATAAAATTGGTTTGGCATAAATATTTTAAGTTTTAATTTTAGCAGTTTTTCTATTCGAGAAATAATTTTCAATAAATTTAAAAATTGTTTTTGGTTTTATTTTCTATTTATTAACAAACGGTACAAATAGTGATTAAATAGGTTTATCAATTATACAAAAAATACCGAAATTATGACCTCTCATTAACGGTATGCAAATTAATAGTTTGCGTTTCGAAACGGGCAACGTTTCCACGGTGTATTGATTTGCTGGAATTGGGGAAAAAAATCGTTAAAACACGTATTAAAATGCAAATACTGAATTCCTTACAAAGAAAGCAACTTGTTCAAAAAGAACTTCTTCCGACGAGACTGGGAAGCCGAGCATGCACAGGCATTGAAAACACACACATACATTGACAAAATGAGCCTGTGTATGTTTTGGAAAAGTGTTGCTTTTAAATTTACAATTTATTTTTAAAAAGTAGTTAAAATAATATTTGAAGACAAAAATATATTTGATTGAATCTACAATATATTTGTTTTCAGAATTTGCAATGAAAACAACAAAAAACATTTTTGAAGCTACAAAATATAAATATTGAATTCAAAAAAAGTTATATTTGACATTGCAAAATATTTCAATAATTTTTTTTTTTGGTTCAATAAGGTCAATTTTCTCTGCGTGATGGAAACGTTTACTGTTCACGAAATCTAATATTTTATTTATTTTTATCTTGAAATTGTCATAGACCTATATAAATTTTCAGAGATTTCTAAAAAAGCTCTAGACCCAATATTCTGGCTGTTTTACAAGGAGATCTTGAAAGTTATCCAAGCCTACACTGCAACTAAAAGTTACGTAAAATTCAAATGAATAGGCACGTTTATATTTTCCATCATACTTTTCAGCATGCTTGGCATGCACAGTTGTACACATCAACTGCTCATTTGTTAATATGTTTTCACTCAGTTATTGAAAATTGATTTTCTTAAAAGTAATTGATAGATAAGGATCATAGCTTACAATAGATATGCTAAGAGTAGGTAAATCTTAACATTTGAATCAACAGCAAAGAATTTTTACACATGAAGTCCGCGATGTGCAGCGAGCATTTCTCACTTGATTTTTACAACGCAAAAACAAATACAGTTTATTACTAGAATTAAAATCTACTTTTTCTTACGTACATTAGTTATCAAGTTATTAGCAAATAGGCAGTTCGTGACGAAAACTGTGGATGCCAAGCATGCTTTTCAGGTGAATATTACGTATTTTGGGGGAGAGATTACATTTGAGTAATTCACATAGAAATCAATTGATTTTCAAGAAAATTTTATCGGACTTTCCGATAATCTTCAAATTGGCATCACTCAAAAGCTACGGGAATTAGCAAGTAGATGTTACTGGATTTTGTAGTAATGCTAAAGTGAATTGGTGACAGACTATAGATATATATTTCGATTTATTTGAGTCATTTAATGATTGCATTCTAGAAAAATTGAAATTCACTCATTTTCTGCAATTTTATTTTTAATTTATAAATGAGTGTTCATTTATAAACATTATAAAACTTACGCTTGAGAACATGAAGAAGCCTGGGAATTCCAACTCTTCCAACAACGACGAATGCGCACTTTCTTCCTTCGCCATTTTTGTATTACGAATACGACGAGAAAATTTTCGTATTATGAAATCACGAAAAACTTAAGTGAATTTCACTTAGCCTTCACCAGCATGATGTGTGACTGGACCAGTGAATCCAGTGGAATTCATTGCCATGTCATTGAAGTCCTATCTTGGAAAGGTTACCTGTATTTACAGGTAAAAATTACCTTTCTCGTTGGTTCAATGTATAACAAGCTCTCAAAATTTGTTCAAAGGCTAGAAATTTGAATAATCTTTGACCCCCGGTAGCTTTAGTATCCGTGATGTTTGTTTTAGTTGGTGTGTATATATGTACATTTAATTCTAAACTGCAGTTCTTCATGTTGCTAAATGCATCGCTTCATATATATCCTATATCAAGAACAACGTGTGCTTTTTGTAAACTATATCAAGAACAACAAGCTTTTTGTAAACAAGCATTCTTATGCCCTTTTCTCGCCACCCATATGTTATCAACGCAAACCATCAACATCGCCGGATAGGGTAAGGTTTCCCCTTTCCGATGATGTTGTTAGTTTGTGTGGGCGACCCTCGGTTGGCGAGAAGAGGGCCTACAAAGCTTGTATGCCCTTTTCACATGTGGCTCTTGATATCTTCAAAAAATGCTATCAAAAATCGGTACTTTGAACATTTTTCTCTGTGTCTCTATTTAGCGATCCAATAACAAATTCGTGATCTGCAGAGTGAGGAAATGGAGGTTAGAATTGGAAAGTGCTCTTGCTCATTCAATTCATATGTATGTTTCGATAACAAATTTATGTGATCCTTCCATTTATTTTTTATTTTTAAAAAGCATGAAAAATACCGGAATAACGGATGATTGGAACCATATCTTTCCGATCAATAAATGTCACTATTGGTCACTTTATTGTTGTTTAAAAGTCACTATTTGGTCACTATTTTCGTAATTTTAGTCACTAAAGTCACTACTATTACATCACATACCCACTACCAGCCCTGCTAACAGGGTTTCGACAATTCACACGCTAAAATCGATGATTTTCTACAAAGTCAGCTTTGGAAGCAAGGACCGTTATGGTTAAAGGACGCTGAAGAGACTTGGTCGAATCAAATTACAGAAGCGAGTTTTGCCGACGAAGAGCTCGAAACCCGTAAGGCCCCCCAGACAGGGATGGAAAATCATTTACATTCATTTCGTGCATTCATTTACATTCATTTGCCTCTAAATTTTTTCATCAACAGAATACCGTAAAATGATGTATGGAACTTTTGTAGCTTTTAATATTAACTCCAACTTTTGTTTAAAACTAAAATCTGAATCTCTTATGCATGACGAACTAGAGCTGGCAGAACATGTTATTGTTTTTCAGTGAATGCAATTTACATTCACTGAAAAACAATGGTGGTTTCTTATTGCTCTGATTCATCATGCATTAGAGATACTGATTTAAATTGTAAACAAAAGATGTAGCTAATATCAAAGACTACAAAAGCTTCAAACATTATTTTACGGAATTCTGTTGATGAAAAAAGTTAGAGGCAAATGAATGTCAATGAATGCACGAAATGAATGTAAATGATTTTCCATCCCTGCCCCCAGATCCTACCGAGATTTCACTTTGCGCTTTTCGCTACTACAGGGATGTTACAACAGGCGCGGATCGCGAAAATCACGAAGGGACTGATGTGCTGTCACAAAAATTGTGGAATTGAATGTCCCGTTCCGGATTATTTTGCTGTCATCAATTTTGTTAATCATATGGCTCTCAATTTTTTACCGATTCAATCCAAAAACCCTGCAAATGATCTCAATTCCATAAGTCACACCGGATTTACACGGAAATTCCCTGAGGTGTGTCCAATGTGAGACATTTTCCTTTTTTTCCAATGTGAACATAGCATTTTTTGTTGTCAAATCAAAAACGAATCGTCTATATGCGAGTAATTGCCATGTATACCGAATATTCTAGGTTCACCAAATCGTCCTGGAGTTCAGTTAATTTGTTCTACTATATCAACCAAGACTCCAATAATCTCTGTAGTATCGAAACAGATTCAAAGTGTCTATGTGGATTGTACCCGACCTATTGCTACTTATTCAAGATGTTATAGGTTCTGAAATCATTCTGGAGATCAGATTTTTTTTTCTACTAGATCACCCAAGACTAATTCAATATCTGTAGTATCGAAATATGCCCAAACAAAATTGCAGTGTCTATGTGGATCATGCCAACCTATTTCCGTGTATGCCAAATGTTCTAGGATTTCCAAATCGATATTTCGATACTGCAGATATTATCCTAGTCTTTGTTGATCTTGTAAAACAAATCATCTGAACTGCAGAACGATTTGGAGAACCTAGAGCATCTGGTATACGTGAAAATAATTAAACATTATCCATATAGACACTATGAATCTGTTTGAACATATTTCGATACTACAGACTTTATCACAGTCATGGTTGATCTAGTAGAATAAATCACCTGAACACCAGAACGATATGGGAACTTCAAACATCTGGTATACATGACAATAGTTCATGCATGATGCACATAGACACTGTGCATCTGTCTGGAAATATTTCGATACTTAAGACATTGTCTCAATCTCGGTTGATCTAGTAGAAGAACCTTGAACATCTGGATTACTCGGAAATAGATCATGCATGATCCACATAGACACTTGTTTTCCATACTACAGACATTATTGCAGTCTTGGTTGGTCTAGCAGAACAAATCAACTGATGTCCTGGACGATTTGGAAAACCTATAATTCCGCAGTGTGATGGGCATTTTGCGCTACGTCGCGGTCAACACGCGGCCAGACATGCTGGGAAGTAAGGTCCTGCCAATCCTACCAACCGAAGCCAAGCGAGGGCTACGAACGACCACCATTTGCACCTGGGTCCCGGATCCGACGAAGTGGAATGCTTTGTGGATGCCGACTGGGCCGGCGACGAAGGTGACAGGAAGTCTCATTCCGGTTTCCTGCTGAAGTTCGGTGGCGGTCTTGTCGACTGGGGAACACGAAAGCAATCGTGTGTCGTCTTGTCCTCAACGGAGGCCGAACTCGTCGCACTGACGGACGGATGTCAGCAGCTCATGTGGTTCCGGAAACTTCTCAAGAACTTGCAGCAGACTCAAACAAATCCTATAGTCGTCTGGGAAGACAACCAATCCTGTATGAAATGAAGATCGTAGGTCCGAGCGTCTAGAGAGGCGTTCCAAGCACATCGACAAGAAGTACGCCTACACCAAGGACCTGCACCAGCAATGTATCATGGAACTTCGCTACATGCCAACCGAGCGCATGGAGGCGGACTTAATGACAAAGCCCCTAGAGTGAGTTAAACTAGAGAGGCACAGAACTGCCATCGGCGTCAAGGATCAAACCGAGACGTCGAACTAGCATCGTTGAGAAGGAGTGTCGGTATACACAACCGTGTAAGACCGATGCCAATTCGAAAAGTATATTTTCACCCAGTCCATAATTCCCAAACATTGATGTTCGTTGACACAACACCCATACACACACAGTCACACACTCACACACTTTGCTATGTATAATAGCGAAGTAGAAATATACGTTATTCAGTAGTCGTCACTCAGTGGAGACAGTTTCTCCCTTTATTTGCTTCATTATAACCATTGCCCTGCGATGCCTGCTTCAGTTGTTCTATCTACTCCAATGGTGGAAGAGGGTTGCTGGAATCAGTGCAATTGCAATCGGTAAAGGCACAGCTACAAAGCAAGACCCTGCTGGAGGTGGCTGGGTTCGATTTCCCGTCCGATCTAGGAATGTTTCGCGTTGGAATATTCCTTGACTTCCCTGGTCTACTCTATGCCCAGATTTGACTTGCCACACATTTAAATGCAAAAATGGTACAGATATTGAGAGCTCACAATTAATATCTGTGGTAAATTTTGTTACATTAACTCACCAAAAATATGTACATTGCTTAAGGTTCTCATTATGACCCTTCCCCCTACGATTCAACTATTGTACTTCAGATTTAATTGCTTAGGCCAAGAGAAAGGATGAATGGGGGTGCTCAATGTCAATGTCGGTCTGTTTTTCCCGAAACTGAAATTGTCCCGTCGTAGTCTCTTAATCTTACCGTTCTCCCATCAATTTATCATGGTCAAAGAGTTAAACGACGTCTATCTCACCGCACCATTTTCTTCCAGTCTCCGTCGACTCAATAACGGAAGGCGATCGGCGTGCCCTGGGAGCTGACATCCCCGCCTCGAGCACCTACTCGGGTGCCCTGTCCTATCACTATCCCCAGCAGCCGATCCGGCGCAGCTTGCCGAACATGGCCCACTCGATGCTGGTGCACGAACCGGCCAAAATCTACCCGTACCATTTGCTGCTGATTACCAACTACCGCCTGCCGTCCGATGTGGACCGGTGTAATTTGGAGGTAAGTTCTGGATTTCTGGATTCGACTGAATGGAAATAACGCATATTTTTGTAAATTTCAGCGCCATCTGTCGGATGTGGAATTTGAAGCGATCCTTCAAAGCACTAGAGCCGAATTCTATCGTATGCCCCAGTGGAGACGGAACGAAATCAAGAGACGTGCTCGTATGTTCTAAAAAACGATACAATGTCTAGATATTCAGATTTGTGACCGCGCGCAGCTGAGGAAGCAGTTTTACCACGTATCGTACTATTGTTTAATCAGTTTTTAGATTGTTTTTCTTCACGAAAACAAAATGACTATAGAATCACATCTAACAAAAAAAAATGCTTCATTTTCACCAATGTTAAAAGTTATGGTTGAGCTAGTAGTAGCTTAGCACCGGATAAGAAATCTTTTTTTTTTGTTTTATTGTTATATTTTAGTATCGACCTCCTTCTAAGTTCCAGATAGATAAATAGAGAAAACTAGCCGCAAGCGAACGACACAAGAAAGATAACAATTTATAACGGAAAACGTGGTTGAAGTAAAACTTTATCTTGCTTTCGCTTCAGATGCTAAACTACCTATCTAGTAATATGGACAAACAAGCAACAATTATATGGAAACAAAATTTGAATATACCACAACAAACAAAAATGATAACAAAGTATATTTTAAACCTAAGCTTATAATTAGATTGTAGCAAAACGAAAGAGAAAAAAAAACACTACAGTAATGACCCGATTTTGCCAGCCCCCTTTTTGAAAATCTTTTCTAATGTTCTACGAGACCCATGCACTTATTGCACCACAGCATACCTGAAACATCCATCTTGAAGTTGAATGAGGAAGACTTGGAATTACGGTTATGTGAAATTGGTGAACGATAAAAGTCTGATGCGCGGAGGGGCTGACAAAATCGGGTCATTACTGTTCTAAGTTAGAACGAGAGGAAAGGAAAACAATTGGGGTGGGATCATAACTTGCATTTATAAAGGAGTTTTTGGCGCTAAAATAGGAATTACATACAGCAGTTTGAATTACTTGTTTTCAGTTCAAACGGATTTTTTTTTCCTTTTGCGTGAAGCAGGTGGGATGTGGGTTATGTTGGTTTGCCGGAGTTCACTCAATTATGGTTTTACGCGAATATTTATCGCCTCTATTTTTGATCGCGTGATCATGAATTGCAACCTTTTTTTTTTTTTTAAAATCAAAGAAAAATATGGTGTTATTAAAAATGCTATACTCATCCTGCATGGGGGCAAAATCGAAAAAAATGAAAATCGAGTAAAAGCAGAATTGAGTGCATGTAAATGCGTCAGTAAAAACCGCCTGATATAACCAAGTGCGTACGAATCGAGAATAGGAAAACAAAATTGATTGCTTCATGCTACTTTTTTTTCAGAGGTTTGTAAATACATTATTATTTAAAACAAAGGTGAATAATAAGGACAAAAGAACGGATAGTCAAGGCCAATGTTGAAGAATGAAATTAGGAAGGTTAGCCTTAAACCAAATGTACTGTACTAACAATATAGGGCACTCTTTTGTTTAATCGGAGACACGATTTTCGGGCCAACAAGCGCGCCTTTGAGTCAGAAAAGGCAACTAATGTATTCTATAAACATTACGAGGGATGCTAAACAGATACAACAGAGATTTAAATCAAACCTAGTTTAAATAATTACAAAATTAATTAAAAATAAAATTAAAATTAACTCTTCAAGTGAACTATTGTAGGTCGTTAGTCTAGTTGAGTAAACATTGAAATCACATTTGAAATTGTTCGAACACCCCCAAAAATGGCATATTATCAAGAGCAACTCAATAATTTCTCATCCAATTTTTGATTTTTACACTGTTTTGGAAAGTGAAAAGTCAGGGCTTTTAAAAATATCCTACACATTTATGGAGATTTCACTAAAATTCTTTGAGATTTAAAAAAAATAAATTTGAATTTTATGCAAAAAAAAACTTCAATAAAATGCTACTAACTTTTTAGGATCACCTCGGATCGTCTTCCGGTCTTCGACAAAGTTGTTGAGTATATAATTTCCTATTATCATATTGGATTTTGTGATTTTTGGGACATTTGCAATGTCACTTAGCGACAACACTTTGAAAATGATGTTTGTTAATACATTCTAAACTTCAACTCGGAAAAAAATAGTTTCAAATGGGTAAATGTTGACCGCTTTGGCTCAAAGTTTGAACAAAGCCTCTGGATTGCATACACTGAGGCAAACGAAAGTAAGAATCCCATAAGAACCACTGATGAATTTTAGCCACAAGGAATCCGTACGAATTTCATTGCCTTATGGAAAACTATGTTGGCAAAAAAATAATTAAATTGAGTTGACTGGACTCGTCTTTCAACGCTTGGTATGATGAAATGACTAATGGCGTATAAGAGCTACCTCATGTCAGACGAAGATCAGCCATAAACCGCTGTTCACGCCAAATTCCCCTAATTTGAATTAAATCGATTATATTTTGTAACCTTCGAAAACAAGTCCAGTGAGCAATGTTAATATAAAGAACTAACGTTGGATAGTTCTGGAAGGCACCATGGAAGACGTGGAAGACTTTCTTTTGGATTTGTAAGCTGGGACACTGGTGCAAAGTAAACACTTAGATTCGTTTGTTCTCTGGTAACAGATTGTAGATAACTGAACTCTTTATTACATTTGATAGCCTATTTATAATGGTACACTTGTATGTATTTAAGTGGAATTATAGCACCTTTAGATGAACAGTTGCAGCCTCTAGGGGTATGGTAGTCTGAAGTACCTTTTTCCCCCGCAAGGATATCCACCAAATCGATCACCAAGGAAAACCAAATCGATCACGTTCTAATCGACGGGAAATTCTTCTCCGACATTATCAACGTCCGCAAGTACCGCAGTGCGAACATAGATTCGGACCACTACCTAGTTGCAGTATGCAAGCGCTCAAAACTCGACGGTGCATAACACGGTGCAGTCGAACGCCGCGACCCAACATTGAGCAATTACGGGACGCCGGAGTTGCCCAGGACTACGCGCAGCAGCTGGATGTTGCACTACACACGGAAGAGCAGCTTGGCGCAGCTTCTCTTGAAGATGGCTGGAGGGACATCCGTTCCGCCATAGCGGCACTAGGTACTGCGATCCCGGATCGAAGAAATGACTGGTTTGACGGCTAATGGAAACTGTTAGTAGAGGGGAAGAATGCAGCACGGGCGAGAATGCTGCAACACCGCACGAGATTGAATGTGGAGCTATGCAGACAAGCGCGGAACAGACTCGGTTTTCCGAAGGAAGAAGTGTCAGCAGGAAAACAGAGATCGCGAGGCGATGGAAAATCTGTACCGCGTAAACGATACACGGAAGTTCTACGAGAAGCTTAATAGTTCGCGCAAAGGCTACGTGCCGCAAGCCGATATGTGCAAGGACTTAGACGGTAACCTTCTCACGAACGAATGTGAGGTGATTGAGAGGACGAGCACCTCAACGGTGATGCAGCAGAAAACGAAGGTGGCACGGCAACAGACCTTGGAGCACGCGCAGAAGACGACAGGCTACCGGCCCCTGATCTTCAAGAAGTTGAGGAGGCGATCGGTCGGCTGAAGAACAACAAAGCAACTGGTGTAGATCAACCATCAAGTGAGCTATTGAAATACGGTGGTGAAGCACTGGCTAGGCGCTGCACTGGGTAATTGCCATGATTTGGGAGGAGGAGATATTACCGGAGGAGTGGATGGAAGGTGTCGTATGCCTAATCTACAAAAAGGGCGACAATTTGCTGCAACTACCGCGCGATCACACTGCTCTCGATCACACAGGTACTCTCCCAAATTCTATGCCGCCGCCTGTCACAATTTGCAAGAGAGTTTGTGGGGCAATACCAGGCGGGATTCATGGGTGCCCGCGCTACTACGGACCAAATTTTCGCGATTCGGCAGGATCTGCAGAAATGCCACGAATACAACGTGCCCACACATCATTTGTTCATCGATTTCAAATCCGCATACGACACAATCGATCCAGTGATGTGCGTTGTTCGAGTATCGGGGACACTATCGAGTCCCTTTGAATCTCGAAGGGGGTTACGGCAAGGTGATGGACTTTCGTATCTGCTATTCAACATCGCGTTAGAAGGTGTGATCAGAAGAGCTGGGATAGACACGAGTGGCACAAACTTCAGGAAGTCCATCTAGTCTCTTGGCTTCGCCGATGGCATCGACATCATGGTACGGAACTTTGAGACGATGGCGGAAACGTACATCAGACTGAAGGCTGAAGCTAGGCGGATTGGACTTGCCATCAACGCATCGAAGACAAAATACATGAAAGCAAGAGGTTCTAGGGAAGACAAGGTTAGCCTACCACCCCGAGTTCATATTGATGGTGACGAAATTGAGGTGTTCGATGAGTTCGTGTATTTGGGCTCACTGGTGACCGCCGAAAATGATGCCAGCAGAGACATTCAAAGACGCATTATGGCAGGGAATCGTGCCTACTTTGGACTCCGGAGGACGCTCCGGTCGAATAAAATTCGCCGCCGCACGAAGTGGTCGTGGAGGACCAACGGCGCCCTTGGTGATTTCGAACGGAAGGTGTTGCGTACCATCTACGGTGAAATGCAGATGGATGACGGAACGTGGAGGAGGCGAATGAACCACGAAATGTACAAGCAGCTGGGAGAACCATCCATCGTTCACATTGCAAAAATTGAGCGTCTACGGTGGGCTGGGCACGTCGTTAGAATACCGCACGACGACCCAGTGAAAATGGTTCTAGGCGCGCAGCGGGAAAGGTGGATCGACCAAGTAGAAGGCGACCTGCGAACCCTTCGTAGACTACGAGGCTGGCGAATTGTGGCCATGGATCGAGTAGAGTGAAGACGACCTCTCCGGACAGCAGAGGACAACAAGGCATTAGCCTGATTGGTAAGGTATGTAAGACCGAAATGTAAAGCTTCCAAAAGTGTGATGATATAAAGGTTAAGCTCTATTATTCTAATTTTGGTTCTTAAGTTGTTCACTGCAGATGTCTTGTTCTCGAAGGTACAAAATATAATCGATATAATTCAAATTAGGGGAATTTGGCGTGAACAGCCACGCTTATGAAATTCATATGTGTCGTTCATAAGTCGAGTCTTATGAAATTATTATGTTTATTTGCCTCAGTGTAGAGAACAAGTGGTACTATGGCGAGGAGGATCATGTTTCAGTAACCCTAATGGTGTCTTAAATTAGAAAAATTAGATTTGTTTGTAGAAAAATCATATTTAATTATAAAAATCTCAACGAATTTCGTAAACTTCACGTATGAAGTAACATAAAAACACTTTGAATGTAACCTAACGTGCTAGATCACGTATGATGTGATGATCTGATCTCAGACAGGTGTCTCTGAACCTTTCCTAGAAGAGAAGACCGTTCTTCGCTGTTTAAAAGTCTGAAGACCGGTGGACCTCAGAATTTTGCGTCCGTGGAGGACTGTTTAGGATCATCTGAAGGATCTTGGAGTTTAAGGTGATGGAATTTGGCGCAACTCTCCCAGATTGCCATACCGTACTCGGTTACAGAGCAAGCTTATTTTTCAGGGACAGAGTGGAATGCATTGTTTACATAAGCAGATAAATCCCTTCGAAAAAGTAATCGAGAATTACTTTTAATGTTTGCGTTGTTAGAACAACTTCAGATTTGATTTCATGGTGTACTCGACTTAGACTAACATCCTACAATAGGTCAATTGAAAAGTTTTTTTTTATCGTGTAACACCGTGTTATTTCCGTGATTTCATAGGTATCTACAGGTCTAAGCAACTTATTTCCCTGATTGTAATAAAATTTTATTTTTGATGTGTAATAATTGCAACTCACTCACCCCTCGACTGTAATCAAATGCACGTTGGTTGCCTTTTTCTGACATTAGGTGGTATGTCCAACAGGAAGCTTTACTATTTTCCCTGCGTTTTGTATGGAAAATCTAAGAGCGAACTACAATATTGTTAATATAGTATATTTGCTAAAACGATAAAGGTGAAAATTAATTGCGATAAGTTTTAATCAGCGTAAATTATATTCATAAGTAGCTTTTTTTTTATTTATGAAGAACATTCTAGAATCAAACCCAAGCTACAAAAAGAAGCTTCTAATAAATATGGCTATTCTAGGGCAGTTCTTTTGTGTTTTTTTTTCAAGCGGTATATTGATGAGGGGAAAAGGGGGAGGCGCGTGTTGTTGTTCGGTTTGATTTACACATGATAACTCTTGAACGAACTCGGGAACTTTCGAAACAATTGCTGTGGCTTTGAAAAACTCCAAACGCAACACTCGAAAAAGTCAGTAAACTGCGATATTTCGCAGTATTGGATTGTAGCTACATTTGCTTCTGAGTTCAGTGCCTCCCTTAAAAAAAGGACGGTATTCTATTCAAACACAGTCCCGCCTCCCTTCAAAGTGTGAATTGCAATTTAATACCAATTAGCTTCAAAAAAATGATAAAGAGGAACATCCATTCCGCTAAGAACGAACATGTGGCTTCAAAACTCGCGCGCATTTGATATGCGCATGAACACCAAAACCAACGCTAATGATTAAGCAAGAATTAGCTAGAACACTCTACCTACATAGAAACAGACAACACAAAATCGCATCGTGATCGTTTGTGTAACAACTGGCACTGGCTTTATTCGGCGCATCATTATAGCTACAATATTACTATTAAATTCAAGTCAATGTCGATCGATGGCTGCGGAACGAACACCGCATATGCGCACTTGCGTGATGTTACTGTAAGAACTACATTTTGAAGAAAATTACTACTGCCATAGGAAGAACTTAACAAAATAATTTACGCGAATAAACCGGAATCACATGATCGTGCCACCCGTCGGTGGGTATAGGTTCAAATCTTTAGCAATAAATTGCGGCAGCGAAATAAAATCAAAAGATAAAAAGCTCCGACACGCTACTAACTAAATCGAGATATTTGAATGGCAACTTAGAAGCGATCTTTGATGATATTTTTTCACCTAATTGTAATAGCATTAGATTGTAGAAAAGTGTTCGCATAATTGCCTGAAAGAAATTCGTTTCTTGTTTAAATTGCCACCCTTTAAATCTCACAGGGTAATTCAAAAACACTTGACATTACAACATTCACACACACACGTACGATTCTACGACATTACCCGGAAAACCATTACCCGGGAACCGATTTCCCGGTAGACCATTAGCCGGAAAGAACCGGTGTTAGGAAAACCATTTTCCGGAATACTGATATACTTGCTTGAGTTTCTCTTCCTTATTCTGTAGATCTTGCTTTAGAGAATACAGCCTTCTTTGAAAAGTAGGCTGTGCTTTGAAAATTTAGAACTTTATCAGTCAGTCTAAAAGATCATACGGTAATAGGAAATACAAATCTTTTTTTTTATTTTGTTTCATTTAAATCGTGTTTCAATGCAGCCCGTAATGACAAGTAAGTCTAGTTATAAAGTTTATCTTATTTTGTATTTTGAACTTATGATTCCTATTGATCTTGTTCACCCTAATAAAAAATAACCATAAACGAACGATAACCCAAATCATTGAACTATTCCACAAATTGTTTGGATGATACCCAGAACACGTCGTTAAGCAAATTAACCATACAATTTTTATTAGGGCAGGGCTGTTGATTAAGTATTTAAGGACATAAGTGTAGCGCGTTGCAAGATTTCTGGTGAATAGTTTTCCGGATACTGTCGTAGAATCCACACGTAGGTACACGTTAACGCAAACAATTATAATTGAAGTCAAGCAAACATCACTTATACTCGCGATTTGAACATCTGATTAAAATAAAATAAAAGTGCAACAACACAAAGATACCTAACACAGAAGAAGCCGTAGCAGTAGCAGAAACAGCATCCAACTCTGTAGAGTAACTTTTGTGTTGAACCAAAATACATAGAGCTATTTATTGGAAATGAATCAACCCCGGGCTCATTTGCAGAGAAATCCCTAATAATTTTCCCAGGACCGGAACGGGTCGCGCCTTCGATTAGCACCCCTGATTGCGTCGTGCTAGCATCTGACTTCTACGTGTGGCGGACACATGATCCAAATTTCGAAGCCACCCTCAATGAGTCAATTCATCTAATTACCCAGCATGGTCACATACGCATAACTTAATCGATCGATCACACCACCCGAATTCGGCTGCTGGAACCAGTTGTTCGCAGGCTTTAATTCGTACATATATAAGAGATCCGTTGGTATCCGTTTAGTTAGTATCAATTCAACGTTCAAAAAGTATAGTTGTGACAAATAAAACATTAGCCAAAATGAAATCACTTTCGATGCCACTACTAACGGTAAGTAAAGCAAATTGTCAACCGTGAACTGTAGGATTTTTAATAATCCCATATCCACAGATTGAAGCGGCAGTCTTGTGCCTGCTGGTAGGCACCGGTAATGCAGCACCACCCAGAGAACTGAACCTTCGCCGTGGACTTTCGGAGAACGAGCATCACCGGCAGGTCCGGGAGATTATATTCAGGCCTCTTTTTGTGTATCGCGAGCAAGAACATAAGCTTGAACAGTACCTGGAGGAGCATGATATCGCCGTCCGGCACACGGCAAAGGCGTACCAAAAGGACGAGCCATACTATGATTCGTTGAATAATTATTAGCAGTATTGAACAACTGGCGAAGCATTCAGCATCAGGGATTTTATTTTTATTATTAATTGTTCGTTAAAGATTTAGGGTACAGGACGTTTTATTTGAACTTATCATGAGATTAATACGTTTTAATAAATGTTTTTAAGAGCTTTCTTTAATGAACCACATCTTTTGTTTTACGATTTTCACTAGCGTGAAAATGCACACTAGCTACTTATTGGGTTCCTGTATACTAGAAGTAAAGCAACTTGCAAGTTAGCGGGTACAAAGGCTCTCCTTATCTGATTGCAAAGGGAATTTACTTCTGGTTAGACATTTGATCTAAAATTCAAAATTCTATAAATCTCGTTAGTACTTTTGTATAGGTACCAGGTTGATGGTTTCAACATCATCCTCAGGTTTTTTTCTGGATGATTTCCTCTTTTGCTTAGAAATAACAATCGGCCCCAATCAATTGGCACAGCAGACAACAGTTTGGCATATTTGTTTAAATATTAGAAATTGGATTTTCTGTTTATACTTTCCGGTATATTCACCCCTATTCTGTATTTTTTTTTCCTTTGGTTTGTTTTTTTCGTCGATCTTGTTTTCCGTGCTGAGCGAGCACCAATGCTACCGACGGTGCCAGGAAGGCAGCTCCCACCACCTGGACCCTACCTATCGACCCATCAAATGATGAACCGAGGACCAACGGCTTTACATCCCTTCCGAAGGTAGGCGTGATCAGAGATGTTATGCCTCAGAACATCCCGGCGGCGCCGACTGGGATTAAACCCAGGCCTTCTGAGGTGAGAAGTAATCACGCTTACCACTACACCACCGGCGCCGTTATTCTGTATTTCGTTTCGAACGGGGTTACAAACATTTAATATATTTTTTACATTTTACACTCAAAAAATTCCACACGCCATCATCATGTGTCTCACACTTAATTTTGCGCTTATTGTGAAACACATCCATTTCATGTGTGAATCTTATGCTATGAACCATGCCTGGACACTATGGATTTGAATTGTGACACACTTGGATTCTATGTGGTGATATCAATAGCTTTGCACACCATAGTTCAATATTCTACAATATTCTACTTTATCGACTTCTACTTTACCGACTCTAAAAATTGAAACGACAAATATATAATCAAAACTGCCAGAGGCCAGAGCTTTCACATATCTTTTTAATGGGTCTGATTTGGGATTCGATCATGGACTGTTGGGGTGTGCTGCTGCCGGAGTCTTCGTTCTATCTCACTGTGCCAGGGTTGTTCTCATATATGAGGCGGGTTAATAGGATAAAGTCACAACTCTTGTTTTCGATGTTTACCTTTCTGAGCAAGCAATTCACATCGTATTGAAATGCAAAACACTTTAAATCCATCTGTTTTGAACAGTAGCGTGATTCAATGTGCAATACACTTGAAAAGAAAGTGAAAAATTTTCAACATTTCAAAGTTTGAAACACTCTAAATTAACGTGTATAACACATCGAACCAAGGTGAAATACACTTAAAGTAAATGTGATTCTGCATTTAAAAAATCAAGTGTTTAAACACTTCGATTAAACGTGTGAAATTTTTTGAGTGTACTTGGATGTCCTCAATACGATGTTTGAAAGTAAACGTTTTGTTCAATTATATGCCCAGGAGCAGAAGGCTGAACGAAAATGTCGAGAAAACCCCTAGGAGAAAAGGTCGAAAAGTACTGATCCAGTCAAGATAATGACCCTTATTACCGATGTCAATGTCGATGACAACTTGTCACTCACCGTGAAGTGATTCCTATTTGATTTACACGGCAATCACTTCACCGTGAGTGACAACTGGTCACTTCACTTCATTTTCATCGTGAAGTGACACCCATAATAAGGGCCAATTATACGCGGTGTGTGAGCTGGCCAGGCATGGAAATACATTCATTTACCCCTAACTTTTTTCATCAACAGAACTCCGCATAATGGTGTATAGAGCTTTCGTAGGTTTTGTTATTTGCTACAACTTTTGTCAAAATCCGTATCTCTTATGCATGACGAATAAGAGCAAACAGAATCCACTACTGTTTTTCAGTGAATGTATTTTACATTCACTGAAAAACAGTAACGAGTTCTGCCCGCTCTAATTCGTGATGCATAAGAGATACAGATTTGATGTCTTAACAAAAGTTGTAGTTATTAACAAAACCTACAAAAGCTCTATACATCATTTTGCGGAATGCTTTTGATGAAAAAAGTTAGAGGCAAATGAATGTAAATGAATGCATGAAATTATTTTCCATGCCTGGAGCTGGCTTAGTGTAACCAATGAAGCAGTGGCGTACCGGTCCGTGGCCTGGCTTTGAAAACTTAATGTTTGTCCAATACATATTATATCGGTTCCATAATGCCCAGCATCTTCTAGCTTCTAGTTTCGTGACTCCACTGCCAGCAATGAAGTGGCCCGAATTTTTTTTTTTTCGTGTGGTTGAAATACGGGTAAGCCCGGGACTCCATCTATTTTACTAGAAATCAATTTTAGTGCAACTAAATATACAACATTTTGAGATGAATTGGACCCACAATGAACTGTCAAATGCTAAAAAAAAACAAAACATACCCAAGCATCTATCGTGTGCTGCTGGATGTTATTTTTTGCCAGCCGATTTTAAGGTTTTGACCTAGGGGCAAGTCAGCTGTACTCCGAGTTAATATTTTTGCATAGAGTAAATTTGAGTTACTCACAATTACTCAAAAGTGACCAAAGCAGTGTCAACAAGTCAATAAACATCGACTGCAATCCAACGAAAGCTTGTGATGTGGTGGTGGCTGGCATGGCAGTTTCGTGGCTATACGGAACTGTTTCCGATACTCAGGTGCTTCCTTCTGACTACGTCAGTAGTTGACAACAAGGCTGCGCTTTGTCGAACCGATAAAGGGGAAACCCCTTAGCGATTAGTGGCGTCGGATAAGCATCGCAGAACCCTTCAACTAAACACCTGTGACTCCGTGTTACCAACAATCAATACGAAACTAACGATTTTAAATTGGCTCACCACTTTAGTAGCCTATTGGTCCCAAGCAAACGATTAACGTACCCTATTCTAGTTGAAATTCTATTACTACACTATGTTTGTTTTGATTCGCTATGAAAGTTTGACAGATAACATCAGGGGTGTGTGGATTCATGCAGAACATGCAGGGGTGAGTGAAATAGCTTGGGACTGCTTGGGACCGTTGTTCTGGTACTGAGTGAGCCAAAAATAACAATGATTTTCTTCGGTACCCAGTGGTCTTAGAGTTACCTCTATGGTGTTACCATTTCACCAAGATCTAAGATTTTTATTCTATATGTGTGTCATGTTTTGAGTTGATACAAGTATTGCACCAAGGAGAGGATGAGTTTATGAAGAATGGAACCCTTGATGGAACCAATTCTTTGAATAATTTAGTAATAAAATTATTAACATAACAAGAGATTGTCATTTTCTTGTTTTCATTAAATCCCAG